GACATAGTGACCTGTTATGATGTGAACTAGGTTAAGTGAAATGAAATTATTATCAATTTAAGTCATTTACAAATCAATTTTCAGGGTAAGATTAATAATACAGTATTATTTACTTATTTTAATTTGTAACATCAATTATTTAGTTTTTATTATTATTTTATTTGAATTAACTTTACTATCATTCAGAAGATCTGGTGAACCATCAAACTAGTCTTACTGTTCCCAGTAGAACTGGTGAACCATCAAACTAGTCTCACTGTTCCCAGTAGAACTGGTGAACCATCAAACTAGTCTCGCTGTTCCCAGTAGAACTGGTGAACCATCAAACTAGTCTCACTGTTCCCAGTAGAACTGGTGAACCATCAAACTAGTCTCACTGTTCCCAGTAGAACTGGTGAACCATCAAACTAGTCTTACTGTTACCAGTAGAACTGGTGAACCATCAAACTAGTCTCACTGTTCCCAATAGAACTGATGAACCATCAAACTAGTCTCACGGTTCCCAGTAGAACTGATGAACCATCAAACTAGTCTTACTGTTCCCAGTAGAACTGGCAAACCAAACTAGTCTTGCTGTTCCCAGTAGAACTGGTGAACCATCAAACTAGTCTCACTGTTCACAGTAGAAATGGTGAGCCATCAAACTAGTCTTACTGTTCCCAGTAGAACTGGCGAACCAAACTAGTCTCACTGTTTTCAAAGCAACCACTGCATTAGTGGGAGAATATTACATCAGTAATTCTAAGAACTTATGAGTGGAAGTACAGAAAAATGTGTCATAATATGTCAACCACACTACATCTGCCATATCCAGTGCCGATGAGGCCTTTCACCCAATACCAGCGATCATGAGGCTGTCATAAGTCAATCACGCAACACCTGCCACGTCTAATGCTTACAAGGCTTTTCACCTCTTTCAGCCAATATGAAGGATCATCAGGCCAGTTGGAATATGACAAAATAAGAATGGTCTAAGTGCTATTTACATTTAAGAACAAAGACTGTTATGGTGTGAAGTAAGTGAACTCTAATTATTATTAAAGTAATGTACAAATCAGATTTTTAAGGTAAACTACTAATTACAACTTTGTATATATTTATCAAAATATATGCTACTGCTTCCTTCTATTTACTTGTTCTGTTGGTGCTTTTCTCTCTGAAAAAAAAAGAGAAGAAACATTCAGTTACAGTTACACAACTTCAGATAATTCATCAGTTACAGTTACACAACTTTAGATAATTCTTCAGTTACAGTTACACAACTTTAGATAATTCATCAGTTACAGTTACCCAACTTTAGATAATTCATCAGTTACAGTTACACAACTTTAGATAATTCATCAGTTACAGTTACACAACTTTAGATAATTTTAAATTGATGGCCAGTACTCCTTATCAAACATAACTTCCAATAAGGGAGAAGTTATATCCTCCATAGCATTTACTTTTTTTTTCTTAAACCTAGATAGATATTAGTTAGACATTTAAACTGTACTTAGGCTTTCCTTATATATTTTATTGAATCATGTATTATTTATGTTTAAAAATGTATGTTTGAAAGTTTTAATAATTTTTTTGAATAGAATCCAAACTGTGCCTCGAATCACAAGGGTTAACTTCTTATGTGAGTGCAAAAAACATTTAGCCAAAGACTTGTGTATCTCTGCTGATAACACTGTAATATGCAATGGTCCTCCTGTTGATGTGTGTTGAGACGAATAATAAACGGACGGGCAAAGAATAAATAACGTTAAACTAAACGATACATGAAAAGGTAAAGAGGAGAAATTACAAATATAACCAAAAGATATTTTAAGATTATTCAACAAATAGTTAAAAGGTATGCACTGTACACTGATGATAATAGCTTGCAGTTCGTAGTACGGTAAAATAAAATATAAACATTTAACTTAAATTTTAATATTCATTTAGGAGGTTCTAGAATCTGGGGGGTTGTGCAAATGAAATTCAAAAACTGCGAGACAAAACAATTATTTCTAATTTTAACATGGAAATCCCCTTGCACTTACAAACTAGTCAGTCTGAGTGCAACTGACTATCCTTTAAATTAAAGCATCTTTACAAAAGAAACGATTGTCTGCCTATCTCTCTCAGCTCATGGATTGTCTAAAGATATTTGTGATAACTGAAAAACCATCTAAACTAGAAAAATTACACGTTTTGAGATGGTTTGATCCACAATCAAGGTATTTACCAGTATCTGTTGGTTCTCTATAAGTGCTACCATTCCAATTTTGAGATGGTTTGATCTTCAATCAAGGTATTTACCAGTACCTATGGGTTCTCTATAAGTGCCACCTTTACAATTTTGAGATGGTTTGATCCACAATCAAGGTATTTACCAGTATCTATGGGTTCTCTATAAACTCCTGTGGTATGAGTTGCAATCAACACTTTTTATATTTCTATTATGAATTATATCACTACTCCTGAAGACGGCAGTGGATTAGTTCTTTGAGGAAAATGTTTTTTCCAGTATCAAATGAAAGCTTGTGTGTATACCATTTTAAAAGATTGAAGTTTATTATTTATTTATAACTATCTCAAACTTTTCCTAAAACGATTCCCTAATATTTAAGTACTACACAAAAAAAAATAATACAAACATTAGGGTACTAAATAAAAAAAAAAATTAAACCCTCTTGCTACGAGTAGGTCAAAGTGCACACGTCACGACCTTTCAAGAGAGCTACATTCAAAATTCACTACTTTATTATCATTTTATATGAATAAACTTGGCATTAAAAAGTAGATCATAAAACAAATTTTAATACTATAAGTTCTTAATTTCATAAGGAATTATGTTTAAAAATCTAGCATAAGAACTGTGACATTTCTTCTCTAGGTCTTCCCTTTTGTCCGAGAAATACGGAATTTAACATACATTACACATTATAATATAGATATTACTAAGGCAAAGCATAATTTTTATAGCCTTCGATCATAAACTATAAAATTAGACCCGCTTGCTATGGCCACCTGTCATATCCTCTCTTTCACAAATTGCTAATATTTCTCTCCGAGATTTCATCCTATATTGTTTATCACCAACATAAAGCCAATGTTTTAATCTATCAAGTGACATATTATGTTACTTTGTTTTCTGTACGGCGTATCATCTACATAACCTCCAGTCCGAAAATATTTTCTCACAGTATTCACACTGACAAGCTTAGCTAAATTTCAAAAGGTTCTTTTTTGTATAGTTAGAAAATCAGATAAATTCATAGTTATAGGACACTGCTTTGTGCGTGTTATTATTCTGTGTTCTTAGGTGCATTATTTAATTATGCAAAAATTATTTAGTGTACTGGTACTGCGAGTACAAAAAATAAGTAGGCCTAACTTTCATTGACAGTTGACAGCAAAAGTACACAACACAGGTAAGTACCATATTTCTTGTATATTTTTATTTTGTTTTAAAAGTAACTGAAATGTAAAAAATTAGAAACTTGTTAAGTTAGAATGGGTAAGATAATAAAAAAAAAAATTGTCACGAGGTATGCTCGTGAGAAGCTCATGAATTACATAATTCGATATAGTAGCTTGAGATATAAGCTTGCCAAGTGATTTGATATAGTAACTTGAGATATAAGCTTGCCAAGTGATTTGATATAGTAACTTGAGATATAAGCTTGCCAACTGATTTGATATAGTAACTTGAGATATAAGCTTGCCATGTGATTCGATATAGTAACTCGAGATATAAGCTTGCCAAGTGATTTGATATAGTAGCTTGAGATATAAGCTTGCCAAGTGATTTGATATAGTAACTTGAGATATAAGTTTGCCAAGTGATTTGATATAGTAACTTGAGATATAAGCTTGCCAAGTGACTTGATATAGTAACTTGAGATATAAGCTTGCCAAGTGATTGGATATAGTAACGTGAGATATAAGCTTGCCAAGTGATTGGATATAGTAACTTGAGATATAAGCTTGCCAAATGATTTGATATAGTAGCTTGAGATATAAGCTTGCCAAGTGATTTGATATAGTAACTTGAGATATAAGCTTGCCAAGTGATTTGATATAGTAACTTGAGATATAAGCTTGCCAAGTGATTTGATATAGTAACTTGAGATATAAGCTTGCCAAATGATTTGATATAGTAGCTTGAGATATAAGCTTGCCAAGTGATTTGATATAGTAACTTGAGATATAAGCTTGCCAAGTGATTTGATATAGTAGCTTGAGATATAAGCTTGCCAAGTGATTTGATATAGTAGCTTGAGATATAAGCTTGCCAAGTGATGTGCAACTTTTGTGGCAGGATAATTAGATATACATGGACAAAAGGTCAATAAAACTTAAGTTTCAAGAGACATTACGAGCTTTAAGCTATTTAGGATAAACAATTGTACTTTCTTGATACAAACTGCAATCTTTCTAGAAAGAAAAAAGGGTAATTTAGATTTATTTCATATTTTTTATGGTGGCTACACGGTCAGTCAAATTGACCGAATGCATATAGCTAGGGTAGAGAAAATAACAGATAAATTATAGTTTTACTAAAGATAAAACGTTTGATATTTATTTAGGAGGTTTTAGAGGTTAGCAAATGAAATTTGACAATTTCAGGCCAAGACAACCAATTTTAATCTAACATGAAAATCACTTTGCACTTAGAGCAGTTAACACTCTGACTTCATTTATTCATGAACAAATCTTTTGAAAACATCATTAAAAAAAACTGATTTTTGTTTAAAGAAAGACTTGTAATCTTTACTGAAAGCTTGCCAAATTTTGTGAAAAACATATTAAAAGTTAATAGTACAGAAATTATGATGGTTACTTTCAGGGTTACAAATTAGGCTGAATCAACTGAGCCCATAGCAAGAGGATTAATAAACATTATATCTTTAAGTAGTTATTATTCTTAACATCAGTTCTCATACTTATTTTACGTAGAACTTCAATAAAAGGGATAAAAAAGTGCACAGACAGTTTAAAACAAAAACAACACATACCTTAGTTCATCCAGAAAAACCCAATCCATGCAGTTTTTCACCTCCTGATAGGTGATTGACTTAGGCCACGATAAGGTGGGCTGCGAGATCGGCTGTAACTACGGCTTCTGCTTCGAGAATAGTTCCTTCTGGGAGATCGAGACCTAGAACATTATCAGTTTGCTTAAGAACAGAGTTCAAATGTAAACTTTCCAATCTATACACATAGATCTTTTTTTTTATACCCATGCTTTTATTACTATCATAAATCAAAATGTAAACATGTATATAGTTTTTTTTATATAAGAAGTTTTTGTTATTTAAATAAGCATTAAGACATGAAAATGGATACAGAAGCTAGCTGTTTAACTGGAATAGCATATTTGATGTAAATAAACAAACACAGTATTAATTATGCTAAATATAATGCATCGAATATTTCATACTCACTACCACTATTGGAATATTGGATCTTCAATGTATTAAATGGTACCATATATTTCTAGTAACAACTGCTTATATAACATTTTGACAGTTATGAGTCTTATACTTGTTTTTTTAAATCGGTAACACTTTCCCCATATGTTAATCTGTTTGAAATACCCACCATAAAGCCTACAGAAAATCAACACTGGTAAGAACAATTCATAGCATTAGACAAGTACTTTTAATAAGATTAAAAACAATTAAACTGTCACCAATGTTTATGGTTAAACTTTGAAAGGGCAAAAGCACAAGTTCTGATGGCTGTAACGTTAAACAAGTGAAAGTTATGTTTATGAAACACCTATGAAGACACTAATTTTATACTGTTTAAGCCCCCCAGTTTGACTAAAGTTGAACCCTGACCTTCGAAAGTTAACTTAATCAAATATAGAACTTTGTATGTAGTGGCTGTTGTAGATGTTTTGTCACTATCCATTTTTTTGTATTTACCAATGACCTTGACATTATACCCATGACCTTCAAAAGTTAGTCAGATTTAAAGGTCATAGGTTTAATGTCAAGGTCAAAAGATCATTGGTATACAAGATTTTTTGTATGACCTTGACATTATACATATGGCCTTCAAAGGTTAGTCAGATCTAAAACTTTGCATGTATTACCTACTCTATAAGTTTGGTCAAAATCCATCCATCCAATCTTGATCAGGATGGACAAATGGATGGGACCAAATCATGCTCTGCTTTTTTGAAGCAATTGAAGATTACAAATGCCATAGCTATGATAAAACAGGTAAGAAATAAAAGTGTACATTTTTAAGATAATTCCAACATTATCCGTTTTAAGTTAACTCTTGCACAAACCAGCATTTACAGTAAGTTTTAAACACCTGAATCTTAAAATGTCATCACACCCCTTTGCAAGAATACATTACATACCCTTGAAGTGAAATCTTTAAAGTGCCAGTAAATAATGTGATTATAATAATAAATAAAACAATAAAAGATTACTAATCATGATCATGTGTAAATTTAAGAAAGAGAAAAATCTAGAACAATACCAGTAACTCAGAAGCATGTGGCAAACTACAAGATGACATCTGTTCAGGTGATGCGTGACTGGCTAGAACTGACCAGAGCACCAGCCAATCTGCTGTAAGCAAAGATGGATAGAAATGTCGTGAATGATGCATCCAGGGTCAATACCCAAGATGAACGGAAAAGGTGATTGCATTGTACCACATTGGTACGACGACTGGTAGCTCGGCCGACGACGATAGATAGGCCCAATGAAAACATCAAAGATGTGGTTGCGATGTTTGTTTAGGAAGTGGACATTTGATTGCTGAAATGCAGTGATATTTGTCTGTTTATAAAGAAGATCACCGTTTACTGGGAAGTTGGAAGAAATTGATGGGGTAATTCAAAGTGATGGCGAAACCTTGCTCGGGCTGAAGTCAAGATGAGTATCCTGTAATGTTTTGTCAGGCCTATTATTTACGTTTTATGAAGTAAAATGAATAAAAATACTGCAATTTTACTACAAGCTCATCTTATATCATGTTGAACCGAAGCGATATATATAGTGTTGAAGCGCATCTTTATTGACAACTACAACATCACATAGAAATCCACCAATAACTGCATATAACACCAGTGCCTTAAGAACTGTGTACACATAAGTGCCACTTTTATTAGGGAGCTTATTGTAGCTGATCTTTAATAATATTGTCTAAAGAATTAGCAAATATAAAACTTTCAAGTTCAAGTAGTTACGTTTTAAAGGGGACACTGCTGCACTTAATTCATAACTAATTGGAAAAGTTTTGTTTAACGTTTTCATATATAATAATAAAACTTTTTTCCGCATACAATTAAAAACTGTTAATAAAACAAATATTAAACGTATCTTCGTAAAAGAATACTTACATCACAGTTTTGGAACATTCAAGCTAATAACTTCAAAAATGTTTACTACGCAATTACAAAAGGTGATAGTACCTTGGTGGAGGTGGGGGTGGATGCCGACCTCCTCCTCTTCTTGACTGGCCATGAGACATCTCTACCCTAATTCTGCTACCGCACACTCTCCTACAAATACATTTTTTAAACATAGTAATTTCACTTTTTTTTTTGTTTCAAAAAAATAATTAAATTTTCCAGTTTTATTTTTTTCTGTGTATACTTTTTTACACTAAAATCGTTATTTCCATTAGCTCTATATCATGGTAGAAATATATTTTGGTATTCCACATACTTCTAGCTTATTTCAATACAAATTATAGGCCTGGACAGCGTCCGAAAATGCTGTAGAAGATGAAAGGTTTACTCTTGAACTTCATTTCTGATAATTATGGTTTTAACATTTAATTATGCTCCAGCATACATTTTGACTTATATTCAATTTATCAAATTTGTAAATAAACATCAGGATAATGTCGTAGTTATATTTAATTTTTCGTGAGACACTGGCTGAAACACAATGGCAATTACTGTAAAGTGATTTTTGCTAGGACTAATGCTTGTTTGCGAGATGCTACATTTACACCCATTTTAGTAGAGAAAGAACAAATGATTTACAAAAATTATATGACCAAAATATATATAAATAAAATGCACAACTTACACATTGAACCATTCTTCACCTTAACTACATTACTGTTTCATATATTTTCGAATTGAAATGTAGGAAAAACTAGGAATAAAACTACCTGGTGTTTCTAGATATAGAGAAATCTCCAAAGTAAATAGACACCATGATGTTTATTCAATAGTCATTTAATTAAGAAAGGCATCCAACGGCTC